TATAAAACAGTTGCTCCTGGCAACAGGGATAGCTAGTATGTTTGCTTAGCATAGCACCAAACATGACAATTTATGAGACTAATATCATGTTTTGCTCCAAAATCACTATATAACATCAGTTATGTTTGAAACAATTAGCTTGGTTCCATGTTGCTTTTTATCACAGTGAGGCATAAAATATTTTATAAAATTCTATACTGTAATACAAGCTATGTCAGTTAGCTTTGCATTGCAATTGTGTGTATTGTCTTCCATGTTTCATCAGTCAAAGCATCTCTATCTGCAGGTTATTAAGCTGTAGTGATATCTGATGCATTTTGTCCATATAAGGTATTTTCTGGAATATGATAAGTTTAATACTTCTATGAGTCTCACTTGTGAAACAGGCATTATAGTACATGAGAGTGTTTAATGCTCCATAATGCTCACATGGCCTCATTTTGGGTAAAAACAGAAAAATAATAGTAAATTACTCTGTAACGCAGTAACTTGAGTAGTTTTTCAGCAAACTACTTTTTTACTCTTACTTGAGTCATATTATTTTTCAGTACTTTTACTTGTACTCAAGTAAATTATTCCTTAAGTAGCAATACTGTTACTTAAGTACAATTTCTTAGTACTCTTTCCACCACTACGAGTCGCATGGGTGCTTTTAGGAAGCGTAAGCAATGTAGGCCTACTGGAAAAAAAGTTACGATTTTTTTTGCGATGAAGAGAAAAAAAGCATCTGCTAAATTAATAAATGTAAATAATGTACACTACACCACACATACATTTGGGTTAGTACTTTTTTTTAAAGAAATTAATAATTTAATCAGCAATGGTACATTAAATTGATCAAAAGTGAAGACATTTTCAATGTTACACAGTATTTCTATTTCAAATAAATACAGTTCCTTTGGACCTTCTCTTCAAAGAATCCTGAAAACTGTTTTCATCATTAATAATGAGAAATGCATCTTGAGCAGCAAATCAGCATATTAGAATGATTTCTGAAGGATCATGTGACACTGAAGACTGGAGTAATGATGCTGAAAATTCATTTTTCCTATTACAGGAATAAATTATATTTAAAAATATATTAAAATATAAAAGAGTTCATTTAATTTATAATAATATTTCACAATATTTCAGTTTTCCTGTAATTTTGATCAATAAATGCAGCCTTGGTGAGCATAAGACTTCAAAAACACTTGGTATATACAAAGGTATATACATATACACTATTAAATTTGGCCAAACAAACAAAAAAAACTGATGGTTGGTGATTCACTGCTATAGAGGTAAAAACTAAAGCAAGAGACTCAAAAACAACAGTGTTCCTGTTGGTAACCATCACCACACCACCCCAAGTAACCTTCTCCACCGGGTCTTCTGGGTTCAGAGCGAATGAGAAAGAGCTCACCTGTGACTGGCTGAAAGCAGCATGGTTGCCATTGAAGGGAGATTTGCGTTCCTTGTCGCGATGGTGACGGCTGCTGTGTTTACTGCGCTGGAGCTGCTGCCTCAGTTTCACAATCTGAAACATGGAGAGAGAGAGAGAGAGAGAGATTGTCAGGACAGACATTATTTTCAAATCTCTTGATTAAATAAAAGCCAGCATATAATTAAACTACATTGAGGGTGATACCATCAGGGTTTATTGTTAATTGTACTGTATGTTATGTCTTATTAAACTCTAGCCCTGAGTGAGTCAGAGCCCCAGGTCAGATGGTATTGTTGATTGTCTCATGGCACTACATTCCGCACTGCATTCAAGTAATTTGTTACATACACAAATAAACACCCAAACCCTCTCTCCACCCCAAACACATGCTTTCAAAAACACTTATGATCAATTACATTAGTACTCTTTCCTTTATAAACATCCGTCTGTTAAACAAAAAACAGATACACCCTCCCGCTCACTCTCTCTTTACCCCAGCCTAGGGAAGAGAAAGGCAATACATGTACAGATGGGATCGGATGTCGAGTTTAAGTCCAGCCTCAAGTCAGTAAATAGTGGCTATGAGCGAAGCCCTTAATGAGACGTTAGAATAGAGCTGGACGATATGGCCAAAATTTATATCACGATATATTTCTTAATTTCGGTCGATACGATATAATTCCGAT